GAACAGCACTAGGTAACCAGAACAAGTGTCACGGTTACAGTTTGAGCAGAATTCTTCCTCTTTGCCTTGTTTATTATGCAGAAACTATAAAAATTTGGGATGGGTCTTCCCAGTCTTATTTTGGTGTGGGTCTGCTGGATGCCAGTAATCACTGAGTATCTTTGGCACTATAATGTTAAGCGTGAGAGTCTCTAACTACCTAAGGGTGTTTATAGCACAAGATGCCAATTCCCACAAAGGAAGAAGAGAATACCAGCTAGGACTCTAGAAGAAAACGTCAAAAGCTCTCTCCCCATTTGTTCTCTCAACAGAGATCCCAGGTGCTTATTATAGTATATGGGCTATTACAGTGAAAGGACGGTAGTGGCAATGAAGGCCACCATGGGTATTTTGAACCCATATAAATTTCGGGAACAGTGTGCTCTTTGAGGAGTGCTGGTGGCACAGTAGTTAAGCACTTAGCTTCTAATTGAAAGACCAGTAGGTTGAACCTACCAGCTGCTCCACAGAGAAATATGTGGCAGTCTGCTTCCATAAAGATTTACAGCCTTGGAAACCCTTTGAGACAGTTCTCCTGGAGTCATCTTATTCAATCCCCTATGATACTACTAGACATTGTGAGGCCATCAACCTAAGACTGGTTTCCTAGGATTCCAAAAGGCATGCTGGTAGATGCCTGGGATGTCACAATGGCTACTTGTTCTAAGATAGGAACATGGGCTATTAGGGTGAACACTTGTTAGTATTTCACATATGTTATCTATAATCATACTGCTAATTTTTCTTTTCTCTGTTTTTAAATTTCCCCAGTTATCTTGAAACTGAAATTACTTCTTATATCTCTTTGCATCCTCCTTAGTGCCTAAAGTTCAGTGATTCACACATGACATTTACTAATTTATAAATTAACTAATTAAGAAAACCATAGGCATATAGCCTGGAAGAGTGTTAACTTAAAAGCTACAAATCTAATTGTCTAACAAATTTTGAAATGTCCAAGCTTCATCTTAATAGCTTAGATAAACTTCTGATGCAGCTGGCAGAGATTATTAAGGACATAATCTTGGGTATGGTATTTTGCATATTTCAGCATACGTATTATCCAGGTATTATAGGGATCATTTAATACTACTGGAGTATTAAATGGTGTAAAAATAAAAGTGCTCCTTTTAGTATACTGGACAAAAATAAAAGTATGTAACTCTTTTCTAGGAATATGAAGAGTTGTTTGAGATTAGGGCTGGAACTATACTAATAATGATGGACCTCTGCTGACAAGACAGGCGTAGGAAGGATCATCAGAAAGAACAAGTCTACCATAGGACACACTCATAACTATACATCTGCAAGTGACAGGCACTAATATGGTTTGTTTATAGAAACTTCTATAAATTCTTCTTTAAGAACATGAAAGAAGGGCTGACTTTTGGAATCAAAGGGTCATTGGTCACTTTGAAAATGAGAATAATCAGACATCAATATTTTAACCAAAACTTTACAAACTATGGTGAACCCATTAACTTCTTGAAGAATTTTTTTTTCCTGTTCAGCTTTGTCCATTGTTACCCCCTTTTTCATCTTTTATTTTTCTTTAAATTGTGATTTGGGTGAAAGTTTACAGAGCAAATTCATCTTTCATACAGCAGTTCACATACACTTTGTCTCATGACATTGACTGGAATCTCCCACCGTGCAATAGCTCTCTTCCCACTTCCTCCCCATAGTTACCTCTTCCTTATGTCCTTCCCTCCCATGCACTCCTGCCCCCCCCAAGCTGTTTCCCTGTGCACAAAGCCCTTCTTTCCTCCCATGACTGATCTCTCCAAGGAGCATATCTACCTAATGTAAAATTTCAGCTCACATGCCTGTCTTTTGGTTGGCTGGAAGCCAAAGGGGTGGTTTTAATTCCAGACCTGAAGGGCAGCTAGGGGCCATAGTCTAAGGGGTTTCACCAGGCACTATGTTTTTTTTTTTTTAATAATGATTTTGAGTTTTGTTCCACATTGTTTTCCCACTCTATCCAGTATCTCCTACATAGATCCCCCTCTGAATGGTTGACAGTGGTAGTCAGGTACTATGTAGTTCTGGTCTCACAGTCATATCGGCTGAGGGTCGCATGATGGACTAGTCCCCTGGACTAATTGTTTTAATGCACTTTGCTTTTCTTCATCTTCTTTGTTCTGGATGAGGAGAGACCCATCGCTGCATCTAGGTGGCCGCTTGCAAGCTTTTAAGATCCCAGTCGCTACTCACTAAGGTAGGATGTGGAACAAAGTTTTTGTGTGGTATGTTATGCCAGTTGAGCTTGATGGCCCCTGCGACCATGGTCCTGAGCCCCCAGGTCCAACTACTCGCTCCCTCTGGGTAGCTTGCTGTGGCCAAGAAGTGACTACAACCTTGTCCCTTGTCAGCTCTACTATATACACATTGTTATCCTTTTGTTAAAATTATTTTTATGGGGATCGATTATGCTGTATTTATATTTTTAAGAAGATTTAATTCATTGATATCATTTAGTGTCCATATTAAATTTTGCCCATTAGAGCTTCTGCTGTTTTCAATTTTCCCTTGGGATCAATCATTATTTCTAACAGGTCTGTACTGTGACAATGTAAGTTTGTGAGCCAAGATGTCTCAGAGATGGAGAGAGAAAGGAGAGTGGCAAAGAATAAGAAAGAGAGAGAAGAGAAAGCACAAAGAAAGAAGCAAATATAGAGAAAACAGGTTGTACATGTTTGGGTGTTCAGAAGAATGTCTGCAGGGAAGCACATCACCCACAAAGAGCCTGGGGAAACTGTGTTCTCCCAAAAGCTTTACTGTAGAAATCTGCTCAAGGGGCTGCTTGATTATTGTAATTGGAATTTATTGACGTGTGGGTAGGACTTTAGGAGAGATCTCACAGACTTGAAGTGATAAATTACCAATTTCAAGTCAGAATGTACTAGAGGAACAGTAAAAGGTACTAATTTTTTCAAGTCTCAAACTTGAGTCATGTCTTTTTAATACTCTGTGAATCAACTGGGAAATACGTATATTTATGCAGCACTTCTGCTGTAAATGGTTGGTTTGGGGATAAGCATTTGTGCAATTGTTAGTGTAGCAAGCTAAGCTACTTCCTTTGAACATGGAACACGATTTTTACTTGAAAGAGCGGTAAACATCATGCTGGTCAGACTTAGTTATTTGGAAGGCATTTTCTTGAAAATGAATGAAACGTCTGTCATTTCAAGAAAAACAACTGATCACTTTGTGGCTGATAATAAAATTTACAGTGTCAAGTAAAAATTAGAATTTTTGAAAACGCATCTACCATTGTGAATTTGACAGGTTTCCAATACTTGTAGGCTTCTCTAATGAGACTGGTGGTGATATTAACAAATGTGTGTGTGCTTGCATGTGTGTTTAATATAATTATGTTGAAATGTGTCAACCTTTGGAAAATCTGTATAACCTAATATTACCCAAATGATCAATGCACAATGTTATAAATCATGCATGGGTAAGAGATCTATTTAATGTATAAGATACACCAGTAGATACACCAGTAAACTTTCAATGAGATAGCTTCAGATTCCATATGGAAACTGCCATTGAGAAATCACTACTACAGACTTTTAGTGTAGTACCAAAGAAGAATATGCACAATCACATAAAAATGTTGATTAATAACTTTTCCTTTTTCCAAATATATGTCTGTGACGCAAGATTTTCTTAATATACTTCAACTAAACCAACGTATTTAAAAGCGACTGAGTGTAAAAGCAGAAAAAGCTAGATATTAAAAATATTTTTAAAAAATCTATAACAATGCTACTGCTGTTACTACAATTTGAAAAAGATACTTTTCATGAAAATATGATTTTTATGTTAACTTGTAATGGCTGTATTAAAAAGTAAATACATAAGTATTCTTCTACATTTCCAAATACACATTCTTATTACTAAATTAAGGAGCTCTGGTGGTATAGTGCCTAAAGCATCTGACTGCTAACCAGAAGGCTGGCATTTCAAACCCACCAGCCATTCATGGAAAGAAGACTGGGCAATCTACTTCCGTAAAGATTTACCACCTCAGAAACACAAAGGGGGTCGCGATGAGTCGGAATCTACTCAATAGCAGTGAGTTTGGTTTGGTTTGCGTTTATTATTAAATTAATTAATCAGTTAATAAAATTAATAAATAAATATTGACATAAACAAACAAAAACTGGGGTCCTCAATTTTAATAAGTAAAAGGGACCTAATACAAATTTCAGAACCCAAGAATAACTCTCGGGGCAGCATTTCTCAGAGTATTTTCAATAGGACATTAATTTAATGAAATGATTCATAATAAAAGGGCTTTACTCTGGGATACTGCTGTTGTTGTTAGTTGCCATAGAGTTGATTCAGACCATGACCACCCCATCTGTTACAGAGTATTACTGTTCAATTGTGTTTTCTTGGCTATAATCTGAACAATGCACCAGACCTTTTCTTCTGCTGTACCACTGGGTGGGTTTGAATCCCCAACCTTTAGGTTAGCAGTTGAGCACAAACTGTTTGCTCTACGCAGGTACCAAACCAAAAAAACCCACGGTCATGGAGTTCATTCCAACTCACAGCAACCTAGAAGGACAGAACAGAACTGCCCTTTAGGGATTCCAAGGCTGTAAATCTTTACAAAAGCAGACTGCCTCATCTTTCTCCCTCAGAGTGACTGGTGGGTTCTAACTGTTCATCATTTAGTAGCTGAGCACTAAAATCACTGTTCCACAAGGGCTCCCTACCCAGGGACCTTAAGTTTGAAATATCTAGGGAATCATAACACATGCTATTTTAGAGAACTGAAATCCCTATCAGTCTGTTAGAAGTCCTAAGAAGTATGCCTGTACCACATCGGTTATTTTATATTCTCCAGTGTTTCCTTACATCATCTTGGGAAGTAGGTCAGTTCAGAACACTCTGGTCACTTGACTTTGGAAAAGTGATCCTGGTAGTGAAAATCTATCATAACTCACCTTCAAGCCGGACCACCAAGGGCACCTTGAGTTGTAGCTCCTGACAGGCTCTGATGATGCCATTGGCAATGATGACACAGTTCACAATTCCACCAAAAATATTGACAAGGATGGCTTCAACCTGGAGTCAAAGATAGGAATTTGCCTATCAAAATGCTGATAGCCAACACTCTAAAACATAACTGCCTAAACAATGGCAGTAATTTAAAAAAGATTCCTTGGGAGTATTTTTCATTTTTCTTCTTACACAGAGCATGAAGTATAAAAGCCACAATAAGTGTTCAGAAGTAAATATTTAGTATGAAATTAATAATACCAATATATAAAATTACTCCATTAACCTGTATTATCCCATGAATCACTACTCTGAACTCAAAATGAATTCAATCACCATTAATTTGTCTATTTGTTATATATTGCCTTCTGGATTATCTATACTGTAGTCTGTAACAATTCTTTACATGAGTAGCATTGTTTAAAATTTCATGCATTTATGTTTTTTCTCTCCATGGTTTATACTTAATTTTTATCTGTCACAGTGCCTCATGCAATATTCCAAAAACTAGGAACTTATTAATCATTTGTTGTATAATATTGATAGAAAAGGTTCAAACTTCCCCATGCATTCTTAATACTTCTTTGATAGGCCAGAGGTATATTCTCAAAAATTGGAGATAGTTTAATTATCTTAGCTAATAATATTTTTTTTTTATTAACACACACACACACACAAGATACAAAGCAATGTGACAAGTAAGGATGGAAGAAATGTCATGCCACTGACTGGAATTTTTCAGTAAATTTAAACCCATCATGTTAATCTGTTTGCTCATATTGCATATTCAGAGGCGTGTGAGCAAAAAAGGAAAAAAAAAAACCTGTCCTGAATTGATAAATAGGTATAAGAAAATCCTGTATAATTAACATGAAGAATGAGGTAATGAAGAGAATTCATTAACCAGATTAATTGATAACACCTACAGAAGATGGCTATTCATCAAATAGAAAGCATCAAAATTCCAACAATGGATTCACAATCAAATTATGCAACACTAATTGCAAAGCATATATATATATATACATATATGTGCAGCCTGCCATTTTTTAAATCTCATTATTTCAATATGTCAAATTAACTACACAAAACATAATGAGAAAAAAAATACCTTACATTTGTACAGCACTTAACTGTTTAGAAATTGTCATTACTCGCACCTTCATTTTTTTTATTTTGATCCTTTCCAGAACCCTATTCAGTAAGTACAGTAATGGTTAGCCCTCTGTAGTGGCTGAAGCTACTCAGAGAATTAATGTAACATGTCTCTAGGTCACACAGCTAACATATAGCAAGGGGGAGACTCAGTCACTCTGGATTCCTGACTGATCCATTCATTTGCACATTTGCTACAACTGGGATCTTGGGCACCTTATACAAACCTGTCTTCAACATGGTTTCCTCATCTATAGAATGGGAATAGTACAAGTACCTTGTCGATAAAGTTGTTGAAAGGCTTAAATGAGATAATATATGTGAAATGCTTAGCCCAGTGACTGTGAAAGTGCTTAATGGATACCTATACATGCAGTTACTCACTGGGCAATGATGAAAGGGCAAGCAGGTTACCTAGAAGGTGAGTAAGAAGCAACTTCTTTGAAAAGACTGCAGGTATGCTGAATTAAAATACAAACTTATTGAAGTTCAATAAACAGGAAATGCCTTGAGAATAAAACAAATGAGCAATAATTTTTAGACAAATTCAGAGATCAGGGCTACTCCCCCAAAAAAGAAATCTCACATTACCATTCACAGCAGGGTCACTGGTAAGCAGAAGCTACTTTCTAATGACAGCTATTAAATGTTGTTAGTATTGAGGTTTGATACAACAGTAGATTCCAAATAACTGTGGGGTGGAGAGAACCTTGCCAGAACAATGGAAGAAAAAATACTCAACAGCAATAATGACTCCACAGTGTAGAAGACAGAACTTTGGGATCTGTTGAGGCATACTAATGTTTGTGTAGAAGAACTAGACTTTGCAATAAAATACACATTGGCACCTGTACATCTTTGCCCAGGATGCAACCTGAGTTTTCGGAGATTTTCCAGGTAAGGGTAGGAAATGCTGCATATTCTGTAAGAATGAGTTCAAATTTCACCTTCTCAGTGAAGCTTTCCCATCTCACAAAGTTAGAATGAATCACTATCTACAACAGTATGATCATGCTATAGAGTAGTTATATCACACATGACTAACTTATGTGAATTCACCTAAACAGACAAGAGGGGTGGAAGGGTAAGATGCCTGTGATCCTATGATTCAATATACCTTCATGGGTACACGTCCTGGTTGTTGTTGTTGTTGTTATGTGCCGTCGAGTCAAACCCGACTCATAGCGACCCCTCCTTGGGTTTCCGAGGCAGTATCACTATGGAAGTAGGA